TTTCGGCCTCCGACAGGCGGTTGTCATGTTGAGCAACCTTATCCTTCACCTCCCGTATCTCTTTTCCGAAGATAGCGTGAAGGTCCTTCATGAGGAGCATCTGCTCTTCCTTATCGCGTTGGAGTTGCTCTTCTAAACGACGGGCCTGTTCCTCCTGTCGGCGGGCCTGTTCCTCCTGTCCGCCCCGCAACTGCTCATCCAATCGGCGGGCCTGTCCCTCCTGTCCGCTCTGCAGCTGCTCTTTCAACTGACGGACCTGTTCCTCCTGTCGGCGAGCCTGCTCCTGCAGCATCACCATCAGAGCACCTAAGTCAGGTGCTGCAGATGTAGGAGCTACCGACGGGCCTTCAGCCGGTGGCTGGCCCTCCGACGTCTGCGGCGTTGCACCACCAAATCTTCTTTGGTCCGTCTCCTGCTGGCGTTGACTTCGGGTACGGACACCCTCCGTTTCCTCCTTAGGTAAAATCGGCATGATTTTATCCCACTTCTGACACCAATTGTTACGAGCTTGAGGTTCGTGACAATAAAAATTGCCGATAAAATTACCTAAATTAACACTTTAATTTACTTTACACAATTAAAGTTAAAACACTAATAATTTAAACACACTAATTCACTTAATTCCACTCCGAAGCTTCGCTTGTTTCGCCCAAATCAACACTAACTCTACTGCCTCGATCGCATCTTGCAGCGCCTATATATTTGAATTAGCAAAGAAATATCCAGAATGTTCAAGTAAACACGCGGAAGGTACCGAGCGTTCGAGTTTCGACTAGGCGCTGTCAGTTGAGCGATTTGTGATGTCATTTTCTCAATGCTCCCCTCGCTCTCGTTCCTGACACTAGATGGCGCTAGTTGACTTATTCATGCAACAATATTATAGTTATATTTTCTAATACATAACCAGTATTTGATATTATTGCATGCCTTAAGCTCAAAGCGCGTGGGTATGTTCTACTAGGGTCTAAAATCAAGAATTCAACGTTTTGTCGCATGAAATCGTATCTAACAAGCATATTGAACATTTAAATGGCATAGAAAGGATATTGTTAGAAAGATTAATTATTGCTGAACTTATATTTTTTTAAAATCATTTAATTGCTATTTTTATATTTAAAAAGTGGTTTTAGTTACTCATGGTGTCGATTTATCAAGTCAGCAAGACGGGGTACACGGTAACTTTTGAAAATATCAATTTGGACAATTGATAATTTCAAAAGTTACAAAAATTACTTAATCTATTTTCTTATCTCTTCATCTATCTTGTGGGAAGCCATGGAATGTCATTTACTATCCATGGCTTCCCACAAGATAGATGAATTGCTAAATTTTGTTTTGTTGAAAAAGCGGTTTAATTTTGTTTTCTTTAGTTATAATTATTTGATCCCGTATCGTAGAGGCAATCAATTACTTGTAGAGCGTACAAATACTTGTTCCGTGCGGGATTCGAACCCGCAGCCCCCAGCGCTATAGCGCTTATCAGCTTAGCAATGAGCTATAGCTCATGCGCCATGAAGTCGTCAATGCCTTCATGTCTGAGTACAAATACCTAAAAATTAAAGTAATATTAATTAAAGTTGATTTCTGATCGTTTTAAAATAATTCTGTTAAGTGTTTTCAAAGGAAAATTAGAAATAATAGTAATAAGGTTATTTGCGAAATGACAATTTTTTAAAGTATTTAAAAAAAAGTGTATTTAAAATAATTTAAAAAATTGACGTTATAATATGAGCGCTTAAGGCATGCACATTTGGATTTAACAAAAGTTTTTAATAATGCATTGTTGGCTCAATGCAATAATAACATGTCAAATTTTTCTCTTAAAACATTTTTTTAAATACTTTTTTGCTTTGCATTGCATTACATCCTCGTCACTGTCAATATCTTTTTTGCCAGATAATATTTTATTTATATTTTTACAATACGTAAACATAAAAAATCGACATACAAAATTAATTAAATATTCTATTAATTTATCTTTATGTACAGAGCATGTTAAAAAAATTAAAATCTAATAATAAAGGAATAATTGTTTTTATGTATTCTCTGAAGGCTTTTTGATTTAAATTATTACTTAATATTTTATTTATAATATCCTGCATGTTAGATATGCATGTTAAAAAATCTAGGCTAGGGGAAAGCCAACGACGATGTGCAAATTCTCTTCTTCTAATAAAATCGTTTTCAATTTCGCTACACTGCGTTGTATGTTCTGAAATACAACGCAGTGTACTGTCCAATGCAAATGACGTCATGAATCGACGCTATACTGGTGATTCGTTCCAAAACATTGGACAGTATATGACGTCATACTTTTGCGCCATTTGGAAAAGTGTTGGTGATTATTTTGTCATTTTGTGCTCCAAAAATCATTATATCCTCCTAATGAATATACCATCAATTATTCTATAATTTTACACAATTGTGTAGTAAAGTGACATATGTGAGTAATGTTCAAATTGAAATCTGATTGTAAAATGTGTGCACCATAGATTACTGTATATATACTAGAGAGTGTGCACTATACAATTAGCCGTAGACAGAGAAACCTATAGACTAATGATCGGCGTGACCTCGAGTGAGAAAGGACGATAACGAATTTTTAGGTTATACAATAATCTTTATGAACTAAATATGAATATGAATAAAATATCTGAACTGAACAAGATTCACCAATCTTAAGCTCGCAAAACACTTTTTTCTCCCTTAAACCAACTTGTAAACTCCTTAAATCGCTACGCTGTTAAAGTTGTTTAGCAAACTGTAGAGTTTGCTAAACAAAAAAACCGGCACGGAGAAAGGGACAAACAATCACACCGCTTTATCTCATTTCTATGCAAGACGTATGCATAAATCTATCTTTTTCGTGTGCGAATGCGAAAGAAGGCGTCAATTTGTCTATAGGTTTCTCTGTCTACGCAATTAGCTGCGTAGACAGAGAAATCTATAGACTAATGATCGGCGTGGCCTCGAGTGAGAAAGGACGATAACGAATTTTTAGGTTATACAATAATCTTTATGACTTTTAAACACATTTAGATAAAAATTTTAATTGTTCTAAGAACTGAACTGAACAAAATTCACCAATCTTAAGCTCACAAAACACTTTTTTCTCACTTAAATCAACTTGTAAACTCCTTAAATCACTACGCTGTTATTAGCAAACTGTAGAGTTTGCTAAACAATAAAACCGGCACGGAGAAAGGGATAAACAATCACACCGCTCTATCTCATTTCTATGCAAGAAGTATGCATAAATCTATCTTTTTCGTGTGCGAATGCGAAAGAAGGTGTCAATTTGTCTATAGGTTTCTCTGTCTACGGCTTAATGTGACTTTGATTATGATCATTTGCCTCGGGTGTACAGATATGTATTCTGCACAGCGTTGCCGATCTAAGGGGAATTCCCCTTTTTGGGGGGGAATTTCACGTATGTGAGGGGCAAAAAAGGGTTATAAGAATAAAAGGGGAATTTAATACTCCAAATGCAATAAATATATAATTTATACTTGTATGTACATCTAATAAGGCTGGATGGGCTATGATTCTTTTGCCTGTCCCCTAAGTTGATAAAAAGAAACTAAAAAAATAATGTCTATGGCTAGACTTGTAGGCTGCGTCCTGCATCTCTACCATAGTGTTCTGTGATCAAGGAACATACTACTCTCTAACGAGAGAAGAAAAACATCTCTATAGTAAAAAAAAGGCCAACCACAGCCAACACACCTACACGACGCTGGCGCCATTGCGGAATAGTAATTAAAACAAAATACGCGGGAACTTTCAAAAAGGATATTGCATTACGCAATAATTGAATTAATAAGTAGTGCAAGAACATGAAGCATGATTCATAATAGTATGGAGTCTTTATATTATTATTTAATAGCTATGATAAATCTTGCTCCATATTATTAAAAAGTCCTGCTTCAAGTTCTTATAGTACATTTATTTTCAAATTGTGTGAGTAATTGAAACAACAAATAATGTATTATCATTTATTTTTTAAAATTCTCATTTTGCGTTCAAGAGTTTTCTTTTTCTCTTCGTCGTCCATATCTCTGTTTCTTAAAACACAATATCTTTTAGTTATTATAAAAAATGTGCTTACTTTTAAATGGTTTTCATTCAATACTAAATGATGGATAAATTTTTTTAGAAAATTATAATCTACACATTCCAATGCACTGAATATGTTAACTTTTACTTCTATCCTATAGGCATTTGCTTTTAAGTATGTATTTATTATATTTGCCATCATTTCTACACACGTCACCATATCTTTACCCACATAATTTAAAGAGTTCTGAGCAGGGTCATATTCTTTAAAATTTGTGAACATGTGTATGATTTCTTGTGTATCTGACAAAAATGCTTTTCGGCAATCCAGACTGTTACTGTGCCTTAATTTTTTAAATATGAAACCACACACATATCCACATGCTTGACTTTCGGATGTCCCCTGCTCTACTGCTTCAACTGCATCAAATAATAAATTTTCCATCTCTTTAGTGTCATCAAACTGAAGAGTTGGTGATTTAACAATTGGAGAGATATTTGGAGTTAAAAAGTTTGACAAATTATTTGAAATAATTGCTGTGTCATCTTCACAATTTCTTTTATGCCCTGAATGTTTTAAATTTGAAATTATGGCAGTTTTAATACCAGCTATAAATTGGTTTATTGTAGGATTATTATTAGATCCACAGCTATATCTTATGCAGCCAAAACAATTTTCTAATGGATCTTGATTTAGGCGACGTGTGGAAAGACTCTTAATGCCTATAGCCTGCAAATTTTTCCACAATCTTTCTATAGCATTAAGGGTGTGAATCCATCCTTCTTGGGAAGGAGGATTTGATTTACTCCCTATATATTTCATATTCGATATGAACTCTCTCATACCCTTAAATAAAGCTAAATGAGGAGTCTTTTTATTTAAGTTTGTCGAGTATTGTTTTCCTCTTCTCAAATCTGGACTGTCTGCATTGACAGCATCAAACAGCTCGTCAAACTTTTGCACGAAATTTGCTGTCACATGGGCTTCGGCCGGAAGTTCATCTGAAGAAAAAAAAAACAATGTTTAATTAGTTATATTTTCATTTAAAGGAAAAATATTTCACTTCAAGGAGCTTTCATTAATATATATATTTTGATTAATATCATTATACACTAGATGTCAACTAACTCATCCTAAGTTTCTTTTTTTTTATAGCATAGGGTGACAAACAAGCACACAGTTCACCTGATGGTAAGTGGTTGCTGTGGCCCATAGACATCTACATTTATCCTCGTTTGCAAATCAAAATGCAGATACATTGTCACCCGTGAGGACTAAGATGGAATGCCTCATTTCCAGTAAAAGGGGTCTCTGGTTATCTACACTCACCATATGAAACACAGCAGTGTTAAGCTTCTAATTTAAGCTGATATTCTATGAGAGCGTGGTTCTTCCCCGGTCGTGCCGACCCATTTGTGCTACAACTATACTACTAATATAGCTGCAGCATGGCTCTACCACGTGGTTGTGATTTCACTTGATTCTCAGAAAGTCAAGCTGTTTTAATGGTAGTTTTGTTTATTTCTGTTGTTAAATAACATGTAGGCAAACTTGCTCACATTCATATTACTATCGACAATGTATATATAAAACCCAAGTCTTCAGTACAGTTCAGCAGGGTACAAAGTTAGCAGTCTGTGACAAAATTCAAACTTAATTACTAATGTATCCATTTGTTACAGTCAAAATTCTTTAAATATCTCTAACTGTCAAAGGTACTTTTCACTGAAAAATACATATGTTCATGGCATTACCCCACCTTAACCCACAGTGACAGTGTTTGGCTCAAATTTCAATAGGTTAAGGTGCAGCTGACTGGGAATCAGTATTGACTGTGAGATATATATCTCACATTCAATACTGATTCCCAGTCAGCTGCACAATTTATATAAATTCACTTACTTTGAGCAATTTTCATTAACATGCCAGTTGTAACAGAGTGGCTAAACACTTGTGCTGCTAATTTTACTCTCATTTTCTGCTGACAATTTGGACGCAAATGATTATCTGTCAGTTGAGGAGCATAAACTAAATTGGGGTTGGTTTTGTCCAACTGATAAAATGCTTCAATGTGGCTCCATTTCACTGTACCTAAAAAAAATATAAGATATTATATAGTAAGTACATAATTTGACTCTTGTTTTGTAGACATTATGTATATTATCTGCACAACAAGACTTTAATTCAAAAAAAATGATATGGGTCAAATCCTCTAAACTAAAATATTTTATTTACCTTTTACAGGCTTCTCATTGCATTGAAAATCTGAGGTTACTTCAATATCATGCTTCATTAACAAATTTCTGGTGCACTTTAAAAGGTGTGGAGGATCTAGTATAGACACAATTTCCTGTCCACAGAAATTAAAAAAATGGTGCAGTTGATGATGCACCTAATATTTTAAAAACTTTCAAATTCACAGCTGATAAATCGCAGACAGTAGCAACCACATTCATCTTTGCTGCAATGCATTCTGTAAGTATCTGAAAAGAAGAAACAAGTGTAAATTTGAAACATACACATACATATTTTTCAGTCTTGTAATAAAAGTTACAAAAAAGTATACTATACTTTACCTCTTTTAAAATTATTGTCATTCTATCTGCCTTTATTGTATGGGAGAAATAAAATGCGATGGGCTGTTTCCACTTCTTACTCAACCCAGTGAGCATAAATACCAGTGCCTTAGAGGCAACATCTTCAGTCCTACCATGGTTGCCATGGTCTTGAAATCCTTGTATTTCATCCAGCTTTTGATTGTAATACAAATGTCTTCTTATAGACATTTCATCAAACGATAAAATACAAATATTGTCTTCTTTATCCTGGTTCCGGCTCATTTTTTCTAATGAGGTAAATATATGCTTGTTTATGCCTGGTTTTAGTGGCACTTTATTCAGGAGTTGATTTAAACTTGTTTGACAAGGTAAAGCAAACATTCTCTTCAGTAATCTGTAACAGGCTGGGGACTTTTTATAAATTAACAAAGCCTGAATTTTTTGTTGTAAAGTATATCTTCTCCCTTTTGGTTTTTTTGGGCAATTTTGTAATTGGCTTTGCAATAAAGTTATGAATGAATTGCTAATATTTAAATTACTCAATTCTTCAACATGGTGATCTCCTAAAACTCTCTCTATCTTCCCTCTTTTAATATTCTTAATTTTGTTACGTAATCGTATTATCTCATACATCTTATTTTTGCATATTTTATATAATTTTATTTCTCTTGGTGTCATTTGGCTTACTTTTGTGACACCTAGGTTAGCTAGGATTTTAGTACGTTTTTTGGTCAAATTTGACTTGCTACAGGTTGCCACATTGAGTTCATTCTGAAATTATAAATATTCACTCTTAGGGACCGATACCAGCACTCACATAATTTAAAATTGTAAGGTATTTGTCAGTTGGTAATAAATATCTTATGTATGATCACAAATTTTTTTGAATATTAAAATCTTAATTTGAAGCCAAAATAAATTATCTGTATGACCTACTACAGCCATTAATATGTAAAATATTATTAATGTAAAAGAATTTGTTAAAAAAAGTACAGTGAAAGTATCATAGTTCACACAGACACATAAATACTAGAATCACATATTTAGTACTCCTCTCTATCTTATTATTTAAAAAGATATAATATGTAAAACAAAAAATCGAAAATGTATTACCTGCACGCTGTCAATGAATCCAGTTGTTCTTGCGACATCCACTAAAGTTTGTGTTGATGACTTTGCACTGGTACAAGGTTCCACTACAATATTTTCAATTTCAGACAGTGGCACTCTTAACTTTGGCTGTGCAGTTGCTTCACTGGACTGTTCTATATTCTGAAATTAATCATTACAATAAATGTATTACTTTATTTCACATGGAAACTATTAAAGTGTCTAATGTAAGACTTATCCTAAATATTATAACTCCTATAATATAAATATTTTAAGCAGCTGAACGGATTGTTATGCAATTACGGAAAATAGTTTTAGGCATGCAGATTTTAAAATGTATAATTGATAATAATATATTTGAACTTGGCATAGAGAATTATATCGCACCTCCACTCAAATAGCATCATAATTCCAAAGTACAAATTGTCGAGAAAAATGTGTTTAAAAATTGCTCGAACTTTATTTTTCACATTTTGGGGCATAACTCAGAAACTATGAAAATTATCGTAATAATGATCATATTAAATTTTAATGGTTTTAAATGCTCTACAAAATGGAGTATTTGGTATCCTCAATAGATGAAAAATAAATTGTAAATTTGTAATTGTGACACTATACTATAGATAAAAGAAAGAATATTTTAATATATATTATTTATATGTCATTTTAACAAACAAAAACATTAACAAACAAAACAAAAACTTTTATTCTGAATTACTCATTGGTACGAAAATCAGGTCTTCTGAACCTAACGAAACAATAAAAAAAGTTTTGATATTTTTGAGTTATGACACTATTTGAGCAGAGGTATATGTAAATTTTATAGACCAATCTGTAAGTATATTATACCTGGTGAAAGATATTTTCCTTTTCATTGAGTAGTTCTTCCACTACAGTTGACTCAGGAACAGCAAATTTACTCAATTTTTGTCTTTCATTGTCATAAAATTGAGTTGAATTAAAGTGTCTTCCACACAACACTTTATTTTTAGTATAGAGTGAACGTAATAATTCTACTGAAGTCCAATCTTCATTTGGCCAACAATATTTAGCCCAAACATGAGCCCTGAAATTTTTTTAATTTAAGTAAATTAGTCAAATCTCTCATAAATTGATGTACTGACAAAATTAAAGGTATGTATTGAAAGGCCACTGACATGTATTTATGTATGTATTTAGAATGTCTTGCAAGTACACCGCCTAATCTTTTATAGACCAATCTGTAAGTATATTATACCTGGTGAAAGATATTTTCCTTTTCATTGAGTAGTTCTTCCACTACAGTTGACTCAGGAACAGCAAATTTACTCAATTTTTGTCTTTCATTGTCATAAAATTGAGTTGAATTAAAGTGTCTTCCACACAACACTTTATTTTTAGTATAGTGTTAGCGACGACAAAGTGAATTCGAATATTTAATCTTAATTATTTCTTATCAGTGATTTAAAACTAAGTGATAGTATTTAATCTTAATTGTTTCCTATTCGTAAAATAAAGCTAAGTGTAAAGACTGATTAGTGCTGAAAACGGGAAAGTAAATTAAGCACTTCTATTCTTATCTTAAAGTAACTTATATAAATCTATTTAATATTATTTAGGTCTGATTAGAACATTAGACGCAAGTATAAGCTTATTTTCTAGTAAGATTTCTTTTATCATAACTTTAAGAGCTATTAACATATAGGTGATTAATGTAATTCTTTTTTACTTTAAAGTAATTCAAAAGAAACATTAATATGTCAATTAATCACTATATAATGTCATTTCATTATGAGAAAGATTTAAATTTTATGAAAAAATATTGTATAGATTCTTAAGCATTAATCCTGAAAAAAGTGTTGTACATTCCTACCTCTTGGCGGCGCTACTTGTATGTTCGGCAAAAAAATACTATCCTACTCCGGAGCTAAACCGTGAAGCGACCGCGAAGCTATTTTTATTTTTTATAAGTGTAAAATAAAGGTTTATTGAATAATTTAGGTTTAGAATAATAGAAATAAGTTGTATCTATCGCTAGGAATAAATATAAATATTGTAAGATATGTTTTACCACGTTTATTAAGGAAATTGTAAATCTCTCTTAGAAAGGGTTATTCTGTGCTCTGATTGGTCAATAGATTCACTAATGCCGTGTGCGATTTTTTCTTAATTACGATTGGTTACAGCCGCTTATAAAAAAGGGGCGTTTTTCGTGGTAAAACATTCCAAATCCGGCAATGTAATAATAAGGAATCAAGAAATAAAATAAGAAGAAACTCTCAAGAAGTGTTATTTATTGCTCATCTAACTGCTACTGTATGCTCTCCAGTTAACATCCCGCCAGCAAACCCGCTCTATTTTATCGACGTTCCCTTATACGAGCATTTACAATTGGTCCTTCGAGAAGCCGGATCGGGTTTAAGGAAAACTAGGAAGATGCCTTCAAATACAAGATCAAAATCAGTGCAGTCGAAGACTACGAGTGAAAGTAACGCCACTACGGGTACCAGTACGACGGATTGGAGCATGAATACGCCGAGTGATTCTACAAACACGACGGCTACTAACACGTCGACTTCAGATCGATCGACGCTTACAAGAGCATCGCCCAGCAGCGTACACAGACAACCCGTACTTCTTGACAAGAACATTGCCGGAAAAGAATCAACACCGGGGGACGTAACCCATACCACCCCCCCGACACGCACCGTCGAAGCGTCAGTTCCTCACCAAGAAGAAAGTCATCCAATGCCGCAGAATCAAGAAAGAAGTGTCGCAATGAAGACTCTGCAGCAGCCTCACCCTAAGAAGACGACCCGCGATCCAGACACGCTTTCCGTTCGCTCGTCGCATAGGAAGAGAGCAGAAGCGCAAGCAAAGATGACAATGGCATTAAGGGAACTAGAATTGGCAGAAGCGCGGTCAAAAGTTGCTCAAGCGGAATTAGAACTTCTCACCGCGGAATCAGAAGAGGAAGGTGGTGCCGGAGAAGAGCTGTTCGAACGAACTCGAGAAGTCGAACGCTGGTTCATCCAGACCGGAGACATGCCTAATAAGAACCACAAACCAATAGAGGCAGAAGAAAAGAAAAGTGACATCCAGGAACTAGCTTCAGTCATACTAAAGCTATCAGAAAAATCACGTGACACCGTTTCACCGAAGCACCTAGAACTCCCTCACTTCAACGGGGCCTGCGAAGAATGGTTAGCCTTCAAAAGATCATACGAGGATACGGCTGCTTCTTTCAGTAGCAACCAAAACCTAGCGCGCCTTAGAATAGCGATCCAAGGAAAAGCTAGAGAAGCCGTCCAAAGCCTGCTGTTCACCGCCGAAGACCCACGCGAAGTAATTAAGGGACTGGAAGCAAGATTCGGAAGACCTGGAGCACTAGCATTAGCAGAACTAGAGAAAATGAAGAACCTCCCAAGAGTCGGCGAAAACCCGAGCGACATATGCATATTTGCAAGCAAAGTAAAGAACGCAGTCGAGACAATCAAAGCCCTGAAGAAACGACAGTATCTCAGTTCACCTGAAACGCTGAGAGTTATAGTAGACAAGATGCCGACGTCAATGAAGTTCCGTTGGTTCGCCTACCACAGAAGCAGAAGAGATGAGGAAATTCAGGAGCTATTACTTATCGAAGCGTTCCTAGAAACAGAAGCAGACATGTGCGGAGACTTCGCCCCGCCCGAAGCGTCCTCAGAACGAAGAAGAGGAATAAGAAAACCCGTTCATTTGGTTCAAGAAGCGTCAAAAGAGAAATATAAGAAGTCGTGTCCGTTCTGTGGGGAAGAACACTTCGCATTAGAATGTAAAAGGTTCAAAGAAGCCAATCTGAATGAAAAATGGGATATGACCAAGAAGGCAAAGATATGCTTCAAGTGCCTTCGATTCAGACACTCAAGAATCAACTGTAAAGCACCAGTCTGCAAGCTGTGCAAAAGATGGCATCATACCATCTTACATTCTGACAAACCACCGGCGTCGATAGAAAAGGAAGCAAAAGACACCAATAGCACCTCAGAAGAAAAGGTCGCCTCAATTCATAACGCCAAAGGAGAAGAAAAAGCCTACCTAAAGATGATCCCCGTGAACCTCTATGGCCCAAAAGGACAAGTTCGCGTATTGGCACTACTAGACGAAGGGTCAACGGTCACACTCTTAGACGCATCAATCGCTGAGAAAATCGGAGTCGAAGGAAAGAAAGAAAAACTCACGATCGAAACCGTCGGCGGAAAGGTATTAAGAAAAGATAGTTCACAGAAGATCGAGTTCAAAATAAAAGGGGCTCATAGAAAAGAAAAAAGAACTATCGTAGCAAGAACCATCGATGACCTGAAGCTGTCCGAACAATGCATAAACAAGGACACCGTGAGAAACTGTGAGCACCTGAAGACAATTGAAAATCAACTCCTCTACGTCTCCGAGAGGCCCAAGCTACTGATAGGCCAAGACAATTGGGGACTGATAGTGACAAGAAAACTGAAGAAGGGCAAACCATCAGATCCTGTAGCTTCCCTCACGAACTTAGGGTGGGTGCTACACGGATGTGAAACAGGAACAACTGCCACAGTACACTTCACTCATTATGGCAGAGCGACCACTGGCAAGGAAGAAATAGAAGACCTCGTCCGAGAACACTTCCAATTAGAGTCTCTAGGGATCCAAAATCGTTCACCATCTAACGACAGCGACAGAAGAGCATTAGAAACCCTCGAGAAAACTACCAAGAAACTGCCAAGCGGTCAATATGAAACGGGACTCCTGTGGAAAAAAGAAGATGAACGCCTGCCCAACAACTACAATCAAGCTGTTCGACGCCTGGTCAGCATCGAGAAAAAATTGGATCGTGATCAAGAAGCAAGAAAGCACTACGAGGAGCAAATCCTGAGTCTAATCGAAAAAGGATACGCAGAGAAGGCTCCAGAAACCTCTAACGAAGGAAGGACATTCTACCTACCCCACTTCGCTGTTGTACACCCAGTCAAGAAGAAGCTAAGAATAGTGTACGACGCAGCCGCCAAGTACGAAGGAAAGAGCCTCAACGACGCCTTGCTCTCGGGCCCAGACTTGCTACAATCACTATTCGGAGTACTGCTGCGTTTCAGAGAGGGACCAGTAGCCGTCATGGCAGATATACAAGACATGTTTCTCCGAGTAAAAGTCAGAGAAGACGACCGAGACAGTCTCAGGTTCCTGTGGCGCGGAAACCGAAGAACCGGCAAGCCTGAAGAGTATAGAATGTCTTCAATCATCTTCGGAGCAGCGTCATCACCTGCAACAGCAATATACGTAATGAACAAGAACGCAGAGGAATTTAAGAACACTCATCCTGAAGCAGTGAAAGCAATTAAGAGAAATCACTACATGGACGACTATCTGCAGAGCTTCGCATCTACAACCGAAGCAAAGAAGATATCCAAAGAAGTGAAAGACATTCACGCAAGAGCAAACTTTCATCTGAAGGGATGGGCCAGCAACAACTCGGGGGGTAATATCAGAGGTAGAAGACACAAACAAAGAAAACTCCTTACAACTGACCAAGGAAGAGAAGACTCTGGGATTAAGATGGCTGGTGAAAGAAGATGCATTAGCCTTCAACGTCGGGCTACGCAACACGCCGGAAGACCTGCAAGACGGCAGAAGGACTCCAACAAAAAGAGAAGTCACAAGCGCAGTAATGTCCACATTCGATCCAATGGGTTTTGCTACACCAGTTCTAATACAAGGGAAGAAACTAATCCAAGACATCTGGCGAAAGAAAATAGACTGGGATGAACCAATCAACGAACATCAAAAAGAAGCCTGGATGAAATACCTGGAAGAAGTTTCAACATTAACAAGGCTGAAGATCCCGAGATGCGTCTCACCCAAAGGCAGAAAAGGACAGCTACACACGTTCTCCGATGCGAGTGAAGAAGCCTATGCAGCAGTAGTCTACTGGAGAATAGTAGAGCCCGGAGGAAAGGTCCATGTCTCCATGATCGCCGGCAAAGCAAGGGTAACGCCGACGAAACCTGTGTCAATTCCGAGGCTAGAGCTACAAGCAGCCTTACTCGGAAGCAGACTAGCCGCCACAATCGAAGAGGAATCAGAGCTCGACATATCGAAGAAGGTTTACTGGACCGACTCCAGCACAGTGCTGCAGTGGATAAAGTCAGAACCAAGGAAGTTCAAAACCTTTGTGGCCAACCGACTCGCCGAGATCGAAGAAAGGTCCAAGCCAGAAGACTGGAGATGGGTGCCAACCACGGAGAATCCAGCGGACGACGCCACGAGGGGAACCCCAATCGAATTCGACCACAACGCCAGATGGTTCAAAGGCCCGTCATTTCTCCGTCAACCAGAAGAAGAATGGCCATTCCACGACTTCAAGCCAGAAATTGTTATGCCAGAAGAAAAAAGCAAGCAAAGGGTGTTGGCAACAATGGCAGCAGAAGACACTCTACTAAACCTAGAAAGGTTCTCGAGCTGGGAGCGACTGCTGCGCACTACAGCCAGAGTGATCGCCTTTACACACCTACTAAAGAAGAGCCGTAAAGCGACCACCACCGCCGCACGCCAGAAGGATGAGTCCTGGAAACCACAAAAAAATCCAGAAGAAAGAAGCACAAACCTCGATCCCGTCGACCAGCAGAAGTGAAAATAAACGCCTATACTCACCCATAGAAGCAGAACACCTAAAAAAGGCCGAAGAGATATTAATAAAAATAAGCCAGAGCGATAGTTTTGCATCAGACATAAGAAAACTAAAGTCAGAAAAGCCATTAGAAAATTCGAGTCGACTCAAGAAAATCGACGTTTACATTGGAGACGACGGAATAATTAAATTAAGGAGCAGAACAATGAAATTCCACGATCAAAACGGAAGAATAATGAATCCTATCATTTTAGACGGAAAACAAAAAATAACTCGTCTAATAATACAACACTATCACAGGAAATTCCTTCACGGAAACACCGCTACAGTAATGAACGAAATTCGTCAAAGGTTCTGGATCTTGGGTTTAAGAGCAACTCTAAAAGCGGTCGCACACAGCTGTCAATGGTGCAAGACAAAGAAGAGTTCACCAGAGATACCACCAACGGGAGATCTGCCGAGTGAAAGATTGCAGCATCATCAATTTCCGTTCTCCTGCACAGCTGTAGACTACTTCGGGCCGATGCAAGTCACCATCGGAAGAAGAAACGAGAAGCGCTGGGGAGCCTTATTTACCTGTCTCACAACTAGAGCAGTACATTTAGAGCTGGTACCTTCTCTCAGCACCAGCTCAATGATCATGGCACTCCGACGAATGGCAGCCAGAAGAGGAACTCCGAAAACCATATATAGCGACAACGGAACTAATTTCGTCGGAGCAAAAAGGGAATTAGAAGAGGCCGCACAGGAAAAAGGCATCCAGTGGAAGTTCATCCCCCCGGGAGCTCCAAACATGGGAGGCGCCTGGGAGAGGCTCGTACGAACAGTCAAAACGGCGCTAGCAGTAGTCCTCAATGAGAAGAGCCCGCCCGAGGAAGTACTCCATACGCTAATGACTGAAGTTGAACACATCGTAAACTCGAGACCTCTCACCCCGATCAGCATGGACCCAGGAGACGAGGAGAGCCTAACACCAAACCACTTTCTGCTGGGAAGATCATGCGGAGCTATGGCGCCGGGAGAGTTCAGCGACACGGAGCTCATCGGAAAGGCAAGCTGGAGAACCACCCAGAGACTCGCAGACCACTTCTGGAAAAGGTGGATTAAAGAATACTTACCCCTCCTGATGCCAAGGAAACTCGAAGGGAAAGACACCAGAGACCCAAGGGAAGGAGACATCGTGCTAATAGTGGACGCCACATTACCGCGAAACTCATGGCCTCGCGGTGAAATCGTCAAAACTTATCCCGGACCAGACGGAAGAACCAGAGTGCTGGACGTGCGGACATCAGGTGGAATACTTCGCCGTCCAACTCGACGTGTCATCGTGCTGGTGCCAGCGGAGTCGTCGCCTCCAGAGGATGCAGTGCTACGCACCGTGGGGGGAGAATGTTAGCGACGACAAAGTGAATTCTAACATTTAATCTTAATTATTTCTTATCAGTGATTTAAAACTAAGTGATAGTATTTAATCTTAATTGTTTCCTATTCGTAAAATAAAGCTAAGTGTAAAGACTGATTAGTGCTGAAAACGGGAAAGTAAATTAAGCACTTCTATTCTTATCTTAAAGTAACTTATATGAATCTATTTAATATTATTTAGGTCTGATTAGAACATTAGACGCAAGTATAAGCTTATTTTCTAGTAAGATTTCTTTTATCATAACTTTAAGAGCTATTAACATATAGGTGATTAATGTAATTCTTTTTACTTTAAAGTAATTCAAAAGAAACATTAATATGTCAATTAATCACTATATAATGTCATTTCATTATGAGAAAGATTTAAATTTTATGAAAAAATATTGTATAGATTCTTAAGCATTAATCCTGAAAAAAGTGTTGTACATTCCTACCTCTTGGCGGCGCTACTTGTATGTTCGGCAAAAAATACTATCCTACTCCGGAGCTAAACCGTGAAGCGACCGCGAAGCTATTTTTATTTTTTATAAGTGTAAAATAAAGGTTTATTGAATAATTTAGGTTTAGAATAATAGAAATAAGTTGTATCTATCGCTAGGAATAAATATAAATATTGTAAGATATGTTTTACCACGTTTATTAAGGAAATTGTAAATCTCTCTTAGAAAGGGTTATTCTGTGCTCTGATTGGTCAATAGATTCACTAATGCCGTGTGCGATTTTTTCTTAATTACGATTGGTTACAGCCGCTTATAAAAAAGGGGCGTTTTTCGTGGTAATCGAATAAAAACAGAAAACCTAACCTAACAAAGAAAACGTCCTTTCGTAAAAAAGCGCAAAACGTCCTTTCGTAAATAAATGTGATAGTGCACGATAGTCGCTAAACAATATGTACAAAACACAAAATTCACTCCAAGAACATAAACGCATATGCAGTTGAAATTACTAATAAATGCGGAGAGCTAATGTCACTCGATCAACACAATTACAGTAATGAATAAAATGGCCACTTCCACTTGTTTGTTTCCTTGCTAAAACCGTCAGTGTGACCAGTATGCAAGCTACCGGTTATTTATTTTTTTCTATGGTATACATTAGCAATGCACACATGCATAAGTGAGCATGTGTGTAAAGTCGAAAACTCGTCGTAGAAGTTGAGGGACCCTGTCTGTGATCTCTACGTGTTGGTTAGTTTTGTTGCACAGAGATGGCACTGTGGAACAGAGTCAGTCAGTCAGAGTAAATCACAGAGTACCTTTGTATAAACTGAAAGAGTAAATATTTAAAATATTGTTCTGTGGTCACTGGTCAGAGTTTTTACTTTTCTTGTAAAGAATTTTGCTGAGTTACGATGGATAAATTCATCAGTAAACTAACCAAAAGATCTCGAGAAAAGGTATATATTTACTCACTATTATAAAATTATTTCGAAATTGATAATAAGTATATATAATAAGTAGGCATTTCTAAAGTGTTTTTACTATTGTATACCTAGTTAAATCATTACTACAATACGAGACTTTTTGGGCATTTCATAGAATTAATAAGTTAAAACTACATCTCTTTACTAATTCCTTCGGCTATTAACGTAGTGTTCTTTAGGAGGTAATCTGTGTGTTCTATCCTCTTTGGAGCTATTCACATTCCTAACCTCTAAATACCTAAATAGGTAGTTCGAGTTTTTATTTATTTATTTTTTGCGGAGAAACGTTTTTGTATTGTTTTTTTGCTTTCGATGTTTTTTGATAATCAGTGTTGCAACAGTATAACTATTTTCCCTATTGTCGGGTGTTTCTGAAAGCCTAAACGCAATATTTTGTGCATATCAAGACTAACGATATTTTAAATTATATCCATTTTTAGGAGATGGCCAGTGCCATAGATGACGGAAATTCACCAAGTACTTCCAGTTCTGTTCAAGAAGTGGCAAACGACTCTGAGCAAATTCCTTCCACATCTGCACAGATAACATCAAGTCGTGAAGAACCTATCGAAAAAAAGAAACGATTTAATAAATTTCTAGATTCTTGGACTACTCGGCATGAATTCAAGGGATGGTTAACGAAACACAATGAAATTAGAGATGGTCACGAACTAGCATTTTGCAGAATTTGTTATATGACTGTAATCGCACACAAAAGTGTACTTAATACGCCACCTGAATTCAAAAAAAAAAATCACAAAAACAAGTATCGGGATCAAAAAAAATTGACGATTCAGTGCGGGAATCACCTGTAGACATTAAAGTACGTCGTGCAGAATTAAAGCTTTGTGCAATGCTCGCTACAAATAACTTACCGTTCTCGTTGATGGGCACTGTTATCCCTTTAGCTAAAGACGTGTTCACAGACTCTGAGATCGTAAAGAATTGGCAGTACGACGAACTAAAGCCTCTCATTGTATAAAAAATGCTTTAGGCAACAATTTGGCTAATATTGTGTTTGATGCACTTAGAGTTTTTGGCGCTTACTTCTCCATAATTATGGATGAAACTACAGACTGTAGTACTATTAAACAGCTTGCGTTCACAGTTATTTATTTTAATGTTGAAAGCAACAAAGTTGAGACCCATTTTTTTGATATGATAGAGATCAAATCCGGAGATGCCATATCTTTAGTGAAGTATTTAACAAATGTGATAGAATCAAAAGAAATACCACTATCGAATCTCATAGGCTTCTGTTCAGATACTACGAACGTAATGATTGGAGAGCACAACTCAGTGTTTTCTCATTTGATAGCCGCATTACCTAGCGTAGCGTGCATCAAATGTTCCTGCCACTCAATACATTTAGCAGCATCTAAAGCATGCTTAAAACTCTCACGATCTGTCGAAGATCTTATAAGAAACTTGGGGTCGCACTTCAGCCGCAGCTCTTTTAGACAAGAAAAATTCGCAGAGTTTCAAGCTTTTCTTCAATGTGATTTACACAAAATTTTGAACGTAGCTACAGCACGCTGGCTGTCTAAGAAAAACTGCGTAGATCGTGTGTTACAACAGTATACTCCCCTGAGAGAATATTTGAGACTAGCTGTTTTCGAGGATCCCTCTAAAACAACCGAAGAAATGGTGGCTACAATGGATAATGAGTTCACGGTTATTTATTTAGAATTCATGTCTTATACTTTAGGTTTGCTGGCTCTATTCAATTTATTGTTTCAGTCAGAAACACCACTGCTATATAAAATGAAATCTTCAGTCGAAAATCTGTTGAAAACTGTGTGTAGCAATTACATCACATTTTCTTATGTGAAGTCTTGTACTGATATAATGAAAATTGAGTTTGATAACGAATCCAAATATGACAGATTGGACAGAGTGTATCTAGGTGTATTATCTACCGAAAGCTTACAAAAGTTAAAAAATAAAAAACAGGTTCCTGAAACTGATGTCAATATGTTTTTGATAACTTGTCGCAGCTATTATGTGGAGTTGGCTAAACAAATCCTAAAGAGGTTTGACTTTAAAAGACAGTCTTTTTAATTTTATTGACTTGGTAAATCCTTCTGTTGCTCAAAGTTTCACTTTCAAATCTTTTTTTTCTTTATATATTAACATAGTAAATACAATTGGTTCAAAAAACATTAAGTTCGCCAAACTGAGAATACAGTTTATTGGCGAAACTGCACTCATTAAGGTTTACAATTGCATTTTAATATTTCTCTAAAATAAATTTTAAAACAAAACATATTCATAAACTTATAAAATAATTAAAAACTAAAGACTAAGTAGGTAAAGTACACTTATCACTAAATTGATAACAAAGCTATAAAAGACAGAAAACGAATATCTTAAATTAAATTAATAATGAATAAATATTAAAAAAATTAAGATTAATAATTAATACTAAACTAAATATTACTACTACTAATACTACAGGTCGTCGATGGCATTCAGTAGCCAATATTTGAATTTGTTTTTAAAAATTTGTTTTGTCCGACAGGCCTCTTGTGGCACGTTTTCATTAAATATTCTTGGCACTAAATACCTACGCGTCCTTTCACCAAAGTAGTTTTGCGCACTTGGTTCCTCAAACAATTTACGAGTATTCTTTCTTAAATTACCATAAATTGATTTCCTAACTAAAAATTTACTTTCGTATCCTTCAATTGCTAATAAATACTTTGTTTTTTCACGTACTGGTAGAATATTGCATTTCTTAAACAATAGATTATAGTTACCCTTACTTTTCTCTTTAGCTTGCTTATTAACTAACAGTTTAATAAATCTTAGTTGTAGATTATGTATCCTATCCATGTACGTTCGGAACGTACGTCCATAGGCCGAAAGGCCATAATTAATTACAGAATCCACGAGAGCATAGTACAGAATGCGTAAAGTTGTTTTATCAACTACACTTTTAAGGTGTACAAACTTACATAATAACGATCTTAATTTATTACATACTCGTTCTATATGGAAATTCCAACTAAACTTAGTATTTATGGTTAATCCTAGATATTTGTAATTGTCAACAAGCTCAATCGATTTACAACCAATGCATTGTTTATTTCTATGCAAGCAATCATACGAATGGCCTATGATATTTATAGGTATACATGGTTTATGCAGGTATGGCGATTGAATGAGCATGCATTTCGTTTTCTCTATATTTAAAATTATTCCATTATCGTGGGACCATTTGATTACGTTATTTTGATAAAGTAATCAAATGTAACAAAATACAATCGGATTTTGATCCGATTGTATTTTGTTCTCAATCACCTTTACATCTCTGTCAGCATACATCATGCATGTGTCGTCAGCATACATGTATGTTCTGCAGTTTTTTACAACGTTTACCATACTATTTACATGCATGATATAGCCAACAGGGCCAAACACAGAGCTAGTAGGAACTCCAGTACTAACTAATTTACCATGACAAATGGTTTCTTTTATCTTTGTGCACAACATTCTGTTATGTAAATAATTACGAAACCAAGAGCTGATTGGCCCGCGGATTCCGCACTCTTCCATAGCCACCAACAGCTGCTCATGGTCCAGCGTATCAAACGCTTTTTTAAAATCTATGAATAAAAGAAATACATACTGCTTACTATCTAAGCATTCGTTGATATCGTCGGTGAAAATAGATAAGGCCGTCGTTGTACTACGTAATTTTCTAAATCCGTGCTGCTTTTCTGTAATTATGCAGTTTTTTTCTAGATACTCACTAAGTCTTTGAAGCCTATCTTTGTAAGATTTCCAGTATTGTACGATTATTACAACATGCAAGAAGTTAACGATGAATGGCGAGAATATGCTCTACTTGATCATGAAAGCTACGACTTGCATCCTTCAGATGATGCTGAGGAGTATTGGCGTAAAGTTTCCCACCTAAAAAATGCCCTCGGTCAAAGTTTGTTTCCAAATTTAAAAGGCATTTTAAATGCATTGTTAGTTTTACCTTTCTCGAATGCATCCGTGGAACGTGTATTTAGTTCTCTCAAAAATATTAAAAATGATCATAGAAATAAATTAAAAACAAGCACGATAGTTGCCCTAATGCAAACTAAAGACCAAATAAAAGATTGTGTAAAATTTGAGCCAACAATAAACATACTCAAACCGAACCTATACAAAAAGTGATGTATTTATTTTAGTTTTTGGAATAAAGTTTTCAGTAGTAAAACATTTTTATTCTGTTTTTCCTACATCATGAACTTCGAGGGGAATTTTGCTATAAGAAGAGGAATTTTTCAACATGACGCGGGGAATTTACAAAACTAACTGTGGCGACACTGATTCTGCAGTGTCTATTTAATCACAAATTATAAAGTTGTATGTAATTTAATTAAATATCCGAAAGATCACAGAACGAAAGACAGGACTCCGATAGGAGTAATAGTGTTCTGTGACGAAAGATTTAATGGTTTGTTGCAGTTCTCCTGAACATGATAATTTACATCGGAATTGGATTGTAGCTACAGCACAAACAGATTAGACACCAAAACCGTCATCAAAAATTTGCAGCAGACATTTTAAGGATAAAATGTTAATATAAATAAAAGAAGAAACTTACTCTGCTATTACCTTATGCTGTACCAATTCTGGTAAATATTCAGTTAAAATGACATATTAGTACTATCTAGTACAATTATCGTATAGTTGCAAGTATTATTTTGTGCATTTTAATAGCAAAAAATGACTGAGACAGGCTTCTTTTAGACTGAACGCGATTCAAGTTTTAAAAATCAATATTAAAACTTGAATCTCGTTCAGAGTTTAAAATACCAAGAACTTTAAATTCAATTTTCTGTTAAAAAGCATCTTTCTACACCTATTTTGTATTAATTAATGTTTTAATTAACTTTTAGGAAACAAAAGCCTGTATTCCAACATCTTCCTCCATCAATTTACATGAAGAATCACTTATGGAAATTGATAATAATTTATGCATTCATGTAAGTAGGTAAACAATATTAAATAAAAATAATATTATTTTTCCTCGACCCAATACAAAATTGAAGGGTTAAGTGGACAAAGGTGTAAACTAGCAAATAGTTATAAACAACTAATGAGCGTTTTAAAATAATAAATAATCAAATGAACTTAGGAACTGATGCATATAGTTTTAAAATACAATATTAGTTGCAATACTTAGACAAGATTGATTATTTTATATATTATATTGAAAAATAGGTTATTCTATGCAAATTTATTAAAAAACAATGAAAATATGGATATAATACACCTTTGTTTCCTACAAACCATATTAAGATTAGTTAAGAAGAACTTACAATGGCTCTATGTGGTAAAAAAATAAAAATAACATTATTTATATGAAATAGTATTATTATTTAAAAATAGGTTTGCCACATGCATGTTCTTACATACTATTTATTAATTACTATTTTTCTTTTCTTCTTAAAAGTTTTTCTATGCGGCCAAAATCTCTGTCACAATCTAAAAATGTGTGAATAAGAACTTCTACACTACCTTTTTTTACCAGTCTTCTGTGTAAGTGCAAAAATAAGACCTGTGGCCATCTCTACTAATGATATGGATGCCTTTATTATAAAACCATATTTGCCTTAAATAAAATGCTTTTGATATGGGAATTTTAGGTAGAAACTGAGTTTGTTGTATGTCAAAACTGATTTATTTTTTATTTTTTTCCACTAATACACATGTCTCTTTCTTGTTTTTGCAACAAAAATGCTCTTTTGTGGTTATCAATATGCTCTTCAGTGTCTGTATTAGAATCACATTTGTTACACACATCAGTTTTAGGTTGTTTATATTAAAGACAAAATTTTGTATTGAATATATTTCTAAAAAAGCACCTTCCTACACCTATTTTGTATTAATTAATGTTTTAAAGATAATTACCTTTTTTTAGGAAACAAAAGCCTGTATTCCAACATCTTCCCCCATCAGTTTACGTGAAGAATCACATATGGAGATTGAAAATAATTTAAACATTTGTAAGTAAACAATATTAAATAAAAATAATATTAGTTTTCCTCGACCCAAAACAGAATTGAATGGTTAAGTGGACAAAGGTGTAAACTAGCAAATAGTTCTAAACAACTAATGATTGTTTGAAAATAATAAATAATCAAATGAACTCAGGACTAAAGCTAGTTTTCAAATACAATATTAGTACCAATACTTAGATAAGATTGATTATTTTATATATATATAGATATATATATGTTGAAAAATAGGTTATTCTATGCAAATTTATTAAATAAACAATGAAAATATGGACATAACACACCTTTGTTTCCTATAAACCATATTAAGTTTAGTTAGGAAGAACTTACAATGGCTCTATGTGGTAAAAAAATAAAATAACATTATTTTTATGAAATAGTTTTATTATTTAAAAAAAGGGATGCCACATGCATGTATTTACATACTATTTATTAATTACTGAGAATTTAGAATATTTATTTAAAACCACCGAAACTCCTGCTCAATATACTCAAGTTGTGTTTTTATACCACCAATTTTTAATATACTTACATTGAATACATCTTTTTAACAGAAAGTAATGGATTTTAATACTGTTTGTAGATATTTTGAGTAAGAGAATAATAAGAACTTTCAGATGGAAAACTTCTATGATAACATTGTACTGTTTAGGACTAAATTTACAATAAAATATGGATTACGTAGTAGGCAGTTTAATAGATCAAATCAGACTGACAATTCTTTCCCTATTAGCTTATCTTATTATGTTATAACATTTTTAAAACACCACAGTTCCCTCGACCAATAGTAAAGAATTATAGAATAAAATGTAAATTATACTTTATAAATAGGATTCTTATTTATAGTAGAACGGACACCTCTTGTATGCTCTGAAATTTCTACCACTATTGGTATGGTTGAACGGTACCGTTTAGGTATTCTAAGGACGGTTCATAAGCCCTTACTAACCATTTTCGGAAAAAAAAGAGTATACCTGACATTGCGGCTAATCAGCTTCAACGTTACGCGATCTTTTTATATGTTTATAATTTCACATTAAA